AACTTATTCTGAATATGTATATATTATTTGAAAACAAGTAAAGTGTGTGCTGTTTATTCATCATTGAATTTATCGCTAACAAGTCACAGACACCTACTGTACAAGAATCCTAACCACATCAACAACATAGTATATATTTATACTATTAAGAAATGTAAATAAAAGCCATTTATTTTGACAATTGGCAAAAAGAACTTATACAGGGTCTTCTTTCCCCGCTCATTTTTCCAAGCCTGTTCCCTTGGCTGTGGTTTCGCTAGATAGTAGATAGGGACAGTGGGAATCTCGTTAATCCGTTCATGCGCGTCACTAATTAGATGACGAGGCATTTGGCTACCTTAAGAGAGTCATAGTTATATTTTAAAATCTGACAACTTATAACATTTACTGAAAGCTTGCCAAATTTGGTGAAGGTAAACTTGCTGTATTGAAAGTTATAGTATGGAAACTAATGCTTACTTTGTGGTTACGAATCATATTAACCATGCCCGTAGTGAGGAGGTTAAGCAAACTGAAATGATCATACTGAAATGTGTACTTGTTAAATTTTAGTTAAAATTTGAAATATGTTTTTGTTTAAATAAGATCCAATGAATTTGCATGTTTTTTGGTTCTGTTCCATTTAGGTGTTAAAAGGTTATGAAACTGGAGTGCAGGTTTTGAAATCAATGTCTGACAGAGATTTATCATGGAACAAGATTGATACAACTTTAACGGATCTTGAAGAGGTACTGTATTCTTTCAGATTTAGATATAGTTTTCTACAGAAATGTAACTAAAATATCCAAAAAATGCATATTTTAAATGGTTAAAATAATTTTTTTACAATTCACATCATTATGCTGATATGGACTGGCTATTTGGGAAATTAGGAATTCTCCCAATTCCCTTTATGGCCAGCTCCAAAGCACCTTATATAAGAATTTTCAAAGAGAAAAAATACTCTAGAAATAGCAGAAAGGAACTGTAAATCATCTTGTTAACTAAATTTTTTACAAGTGGTGCTTGCTTGAAAAGATTAAATCTAAAGTCACAACATGAGAATTAAACCACTGCAGCTGTAATTTTGCCAAACTGGAGGAATCTTCCCCTAGTCTGTGTTAAATTTAACAGTCAGTGTATAACATGCAATAGCTGCAAGGAGTTAACGATAGGAATAAACTGACTTCTTAAGTGTTTTTTGAGAAAATTTAAAGATAAGTGAAATTATTATTCTGTTATATATTTTTAATGTATTGCAAATAACTGAGAATTAAAAGAAATCCATCAATAGTTTCTTAGTTTGCATAATTAATGTATACAAAGTAACACTTTCTTTTTTTAAGGAAAGTTGAAATTATTGCTCTGAAAATTGCCTATTTCTGTGTTGGCTACGGGAGTGATGATGTGGAGAAATTTGATTCATCTCTTCTGTAGATGGCTCGGCATGGCCAGGTGGTTAGGGCACTCGACTTGCAATCTGAAGGTTGCGGGTTTGAATCCCCATCCCACCAAACATGCTCGCCCTACTATTCGTTGGTAAAAGAGTAGCCCAAGAGTTGGCAGTGGGTGGTGATGACTAACTGCCTTCCCTGTAGTCCTACAATGCTAAATTAGGGACGGCTAGGGCTGATAGCCCTCGTGTAGCTTTGCGAGAAATTCATAACAAACAAACTTCTGTAGCTAATGCAAATAATTTGTGTTTAATGTATTATATGTTATGTAAAGGTCTTAAATATTTCAGTTAAGCATGTGCATATAAGATATACACATATTTTCATAGTTGCAATTTACTGGTACTGTAGATTCACATAAAATTAAAACTTTTGTTGGATGTATTTAGAAATTCTGAATGAGATAAAGCAAAAAAATGAATGGTTTCAAAAATAAAATAGAAAGTAGCAAGGAATTGCTCATTGAGGTTGCACAGTCTTGCATAAAACTGGAGTGTGTGCTTTCTGTTTTACAAACTGAAACTATTTTTCTGAGCTGAGCTACCCACCTTTAATTTTGGTAAGTTTTAACGAACTGCATCACGCAAGTCAAGTGCAAGATCAGAACAAAACACACTGAATTCAACCTGATGAGGTAGCAGGAGTTCTGATATTCCAATTTAACCATCTGAATCAACTGAATGCCACAAAATCCTCAGTTTTGTCTCTGGGTTCAAAAATGTTAACATTTACAAAGTGACAAATAAAAGTGGACAATGCCATTTCTGTAGTCATTCATCATGGCAGGATGTAGAAGACACAAAGAAAACAAAGTTCAGATATGTTACTGAGACTGTAAGTGCTGCTCTTAGTGATATATGAAACTGCTTCGACAATGCACATGTGAATGCAATCTTAGCCAAAGCAACTCAAGACTCTTTTTGCAGTTGCCAATAGCAATGCCATAGAATGTTTGAAAAGCAAAAGTCTTATAGAACTTCAAGTTTCTTTGCATTTCGCCCTGTGCAGCCCACTCATAATGTGTCCTTCAAGTCTGATAAGGTGTTCGTGAAAGCAGATGACAACAATCAGAATTGACCTTCCTATCTTAATGGGAAAAAAGCACTGTTCTGTATAGTGTGAAAGAAATGAAAAACTGAAAACATGCCTACATTAGGATTTATGAAAATGAGGAGAAGAAGACACAAAAAAGCTCTTAAATTGTTGAGAGAACTAGTATAACAAAGGTTGATTTTGATACAGTTCTGTTTTGGTCTGCAAGGGAGAAGACATTGAAAACGTGGACAATGATGGAAGATCATTAAATGTGTAATTTAACTTGACAAAACCATTGCAAAAGAAAGAATAAGTTACTGAGAGACGGACTTAAATGAATGAGCATGTATGCTAGATAATCTGAGTATCAACCATGTAAATATTCTCAGACTCGTACGACTACTGGCAAAGTACATGGACAAAGTAATACAGAAGAGCAAAGAAAAAAAAAAAAGGAAAGAAGGCATGTATGTTTCCAGAGGAAGAGGATTCTTGATCACTTTTCTTTTGAAAGCTTTAGTGAATTATATCTTTAAAATCAGGTAAGGCATGGTTCGGGATCAAATTGCCAAGGAAGTGAGATAAGTCAAAATCTGTTCCATGCAGTGAAACTGTATGCAGGACATTTCAATAATGGACTAGTGCTCAGTTATAATCTGATATGTAGGTAGTGGGATCTTACTGAAACAGTTTCTGGCTCATGTGGATTCACATGAATAATTGTTTCACTTGTTGCAGAGAACTCTTGAGAGGCACAACATTGATATGAAGATGAGACAGCACTGATGGTACAGGATGTATGAGTGGAATGTACAGTAGATTTACTGCTTAGCTTGAAACAGCCTCGTCGGGTCATACTTCTGTGGCCATATGTTTTAAGCCAGATAAAGATGAGCATAAAACAAAGAAGTTAACAAAGAAAAGAAAAAAATCATTTGTTTCTCATGTAAGGATTGTGTTGAGTGTGTACTTGTCTTGTTTGGTTATAGTAACCTGCATAAACAAGCTTTGAACTTGCTTTTATGGCATACAAAGCAGTGTTTACTCTTTCTCATTCAAGTAGCTCGTGAGCTAAGCTTTTCAAAGCTGAAAAGAATACTAAAAAGTATCAGGAGTTCACTAACACAATAAAAATTTGAAAACCTGAGGGTGATCAATGCGGAAACTGATCTTGTAGACAAGTTAGGCACCAATAGAATTATGACAACGTTTCAAAAGCACTGAACTTAGGAAACTGCTTTTACTTTTATTATCATAAGTAATATGTCTGAATTCAGATTGATTTATGTATTTTTGTTTGTTTCATTTCTGATATTAATTAAGTAGGTAAGGTTATGAAGGTTATAAATTATAGTATTTACTTTGTGCCCTTAAAATGCAGCCCTTTGTAAGTTAAATTCTGAAGTCATTTTATGAATCTATTTTGCTGCTGGTTTTATATTGCCGCTGCTTATTTTTTAATACAGTAAACTTTCTAAGGATAATAACTGTTATTATTGGAGGAGTAAAACAATTTTTTAACGTTAGATAACTAGGAAAGTGCATGAAAAAACAAAATGGTTCAAGTGAACTCTTTGGTATTTCAACATTAAAATATATTCCTTTGTGGAGAAAGGGTGAATGAATGGAATTACTATTTTTTTTCTTTTGAAGTAAAAGTTTGGACTGATTTAATATTTCAGTGAAAGCCTAGTGTCTCAAAAAGGGAAGGATCATTGGTTGAAGCCAAATGTAGATTTTTACATTCCAAACTTGTAGCACAAACTTGAAATTTAAATAATTTTTGATTGAAAATGAACTTGACAGTATTAGCTATATTTGTTTAAACACTTTGATTTCACTATAGTGAAGAAAGAAAAACAATTCCTAATCTTCACTTGGAATATTATTTGTTTTTCTCAAAAGCATTATCCACAAGCTCTGTTATTTCATTATATCTCAGAGGAAAATATCTTCAAAATTTCAAATGTATTATATAAAGTAATTGATATGTCAGAAAAAGTATGTTTATTTATTTTTTATCATGTATAATAGCTCAGAAAAGTCACTAACAAATACATATGAGATGTAATACATGTTTATAAAACTTCCTTTGTTATTCAAATTCGATGACGAGGAACCCAGTTTGAGACCAATAACGCTTGGAGACGGCTTGAATGGGTA